AGACACCCCCCTCCCCCCGAGTAAGGGAAATAGGTAGGCAGGCAAAGAGGGTTGTGCACGGAGGAGGGAGGGGGGATGGTGGAGGAGAATGTTTTTGCATGCAGGTGAATAGAGGTAGAGCTGCTTGTTTAAAGCTGCTTGGGCATCTCTGAGAGCGGGAGAGGTCACTGGGTTGCTATGATAAAAGCATTTCAGTCGGCAGCCCTGGCTTTCCTTGGTGCATTTGTCCTGATTCTGGCAACTGATGGCACCTGAGCAAAGTAGGAACGGGGTGGGGGCAGGGGGGGGACACCTGTGAAATGCGTTTTGAGTTCTACACCCAGGGCTCCTGTGCCACGTTTTCTTCCTTGAAGGTCAGATGGTGGGTGTGAGCAGAAGCCGAATACCGACGTCCTACCTATCCTGGGGGTTATATAGCACGGCAGAACGTCATCTGCGTTTTGATTTGGTCATTGTGCAGCCACTGCTGCCCAAGCATAACGATTGCAGTGGCTGCCCAGGAGAATTTCTGGCAAGACTTTTTCCGGAGAAGATTTAACATCCATCCCTGAGAAATAGATGAGAATTAGAGCATGCTGGCACAATCTAGCTATTTTTTATAATTTAAATTTAGAAAGTGGGGCTGGTGCTATTGTGAAATCAGGTGTGTTTATTTAAGGCATCTTTTATAAACTAAAAATAGATAGAATTGGGAGAGAAATAGGCACCACTCTTTGTTTTAATCTTGTAACATTAATGGCACACTTTTCTATCTTGAATAATCTTTTATGCTGTATTTTGCATTGGGTGTTTCATTCTCTTTCCTTATTTAGCCATCAATCCTGCATGTAAGATGCCAAACCAAACATTGTCTTGCTTGATCAAACCTTTTGAAATTTTAAGCTTAGGGTTGTATGCCCTCCCCCCTCCACTTTATGCTAGAAAAGTGTGTATCTGCGCCTGTAAAATTCTATTAAAACAAAAGGGGTAGTTCAATGATGCACACTTCTTCTGATATTTTACATCTATCTAAAACTAGTTGGGAAATGGGAGGAACCTAGTGGTAAAGTGGTAGTTGCTCTTAGCTCTAGAATAGGCCCTTGTGCATTGTTCCTGGGGGAAGGGGGGGGAGGAAACACTCAACCTAGTGGGTATTTGAATTCATGCTGAGCTATGGGGCACCTGTATGATGCTGGAAGTTCTAATATTTAGTGTATTTCTGCCTTTGTACTGCCATGTATTCTTCACCTTGTGCCTGGAAAATACCTGTTGGTGTGGCCCTTTCCTTTAAAAAAGAGTGCCAGGTTTTTCCAAGCATTCAGAAGTTGAGGGTTTAAAGCTCTCAAACGAGGGCTGACCCTCCCCCCAATGCTGAGCAGCCTGCAATTGCTAGGAGGTATTAGCGTACTTCACTAACTGAAAACTGGAGATTTCTGGAAATCTTCACCCTTCAGCTATAGTAAGTCCCATTGAAATCAGAGTGGACATGTGTACAACTGCACTGCTGGGGTAGGATTGCTTGAGGTTGTTTATTTTGAAGGCCTGACCCTTATTCCATAACTCTGAATTATAGTTTCAGCAAAATACAATTGATACCTTTATTATATCTAGAACATTCCTGTTCCATAGCACTCTATGGAATACCTTCACCAGAGATCCAAAATACAAATTGGGTAACAATTCAGAGCAAGCTATGTGCCCTCAAGTTCCTTTTAATTCAGCACACCCTTCCTCATGCAGGTTTTCTATTTGTTCTTTAATGGGGATTCAGTAATGCTTAACTTGCACAGGTATTTGCTCTTATTTTTTTTATTGAACAGCCTTAGGGTGCGTGTTTTGGTATATCATAGCTGTTCAGTATTTCCCAAGCTTGGGTTACATGATCATCTCCTTTACATAGTTGCCAAAAGAAGGGGAACATTCATTCTCTTTCTGCCATTGTGGGTGATGCTGGTGGAGCAATTAAGGGAAACTAGGATGCCCAGAAATCAACCAGCTTCTTTGCAGGCTTTCCTTATTATTAGACATGCAGAACATCTGATCTCTTGGGCCTGCATTTTCATGCTTTCACCAATGAGTTCTGGATGAAAGCTACTTTGAAAGCTACTCTACCGCTATCTTCTAAAGATGTGGCAACAATAAAACTCAAGACTCTCATAGAGTCCTGGCATTCTTGGTCTCCTTTACCATCACTTGCGCCTCTGGCATTTTTCCATTGCTGCCTCTTGGCAAGCGTCAGGCCTCCATTTCTTTGTGGTCAGGCCTTTGCTCGCTGCAGCAGAAGTAAGGAAGAATTTACTGGCTTCCTTTCCCCCCTCAATAACATTGCAATAAATAATCCCTCATGGAGAGTGTGTGTGGATGATGAGTCAATGATGCTTATATATTTTCAACTACATAATGTCCGTCTCAGCATTACTGGGGAATAAGTAAGAGGGGAAGCACAGTTTTTGTTGGTTAGTGAGGTAGAGTCTGAGTAGGCCTGAGATTTCCATGGCCACCCCAGGGAGCTTGTGCTGTTCTTTGCTAAAGGTCGTTGCCTCAAGCTGGGTCAGGATCTCTGTCTGCAATGGCTTCTTGAATTTCAAGTGCGACACGGCAGCTTTGAGCCAGCGCCTGCAACGTTTGGGGCCTTGCGAGATTTCCAACCCAGTCATTTGTCTGCCATAGCAGAGCAAACAGGGGAATTGTTGGGTGACACATCCGGGGCATAGCTTTGAATTGAGTTACAGGGAAACAGAAGTTACTAGTTATCAGGAACGCTGATAAGATAAACAGAGCCATCATTCTCAATGGAGCCATTGTTCATCATTGTTTTGTGGCACTGGAGTTTTTTGTTCTTTTTCTTATGGTTTTATCTATCTCTGTATTCAACAAGCAGAGAGAAGGAAAAGTCCATGGGCCCGCCATGGCTTGTATACAGAAAGAAAAGAAAGCAGGTGGCAGGGTGACAGTGTTATGACTCAGTCAGACTGAACTCATGTTTGATGAACCAACTTCTATGCCAACTTTATGCCTCTGCAAGCTTAATAGCCTGTCCAGGGCAACAACTCTGTGTGGCAATTAAGTATCCCTAACTCCATCCAGAGGTGGAAAAGATGACATGCTTATATTGGAGGACTGAGAGTTGGTTTACACTTTTGTTTATCCTGAGCTAGGAACAGATCTGACAGGATAATGCACACACTTCAGGCCACTCATCAAACCTTGCAGGGTTGACTTCAGGCCTGAGGACACCCTCAGCCAAATGCCCCTGAGCAGGCTCCATGCTATGCTGATGGCCTCTTCAGGTGGGGAGCTATAGCGACAGCACACTTGTGAGCTTTGGGTATGATTTTGCACAGTGCCTCAACATAGCATTGCTCTAGGAAACAAAGATGAGGGTTTTCAGACCCCCCAATGGGAGCCACAGTGGATTTCATTGAAAGGAGCCTGCTCAGTGGGTCTTGCCAGGGTCCCGAGGCTTTGGCAATTGCCCAGTGATGCTATGTGCTGATGATGGGACTTCCTCCCAGCTGCCAGTTATTCCAGTAACGAGGTGCCCCATTTTGTTCTTCACAGCTCTGCTGTCTTAATTTGTTAACTCTCAGTGAAGATTCTGGGATGTCCTACCTGCTTTGAAGGAGCAACTCCTCTCCCAATAGAGTGTGTGTTGTATCTCTATGTGTGGTGGGTGTGCACATAAGGGAGTGTGCAGTGGACACACCACTACTCTTGGAGAGTTGCCCAAATCTCTTGTGTGGTCCTTAGGCTGAAAAAGGTTAGCCACGTGTGCTATAGGCTCTAGTGCAGGGTTTCCCAAACTTGGGTCTCCAGCTGTTTTTGGACTACTGTTCCCCTCATTCCTGACCACTAGTCCTGCTAGCTAGGAACGATGGGATTTGTAGTCCAACAACAGCTGGAGACCCAAGTTTGGGAAACCCTGCTGTAGTAGGACGGCTACAACCAAAGATTTGGAAACTCACTAAATTATGAGTTTCACCCCAACCCCATCCAGTGGGGGGAAATGCCTGTTTATACAATTGGTAAAATCAAGTGACAAGATACAAGCTTGAGGGAGGGGAGGTGCATGCTTGAATCCAACACATACAGTCCTTGGCACTTAGTAAACCAGTATGCCAGGCCGAGTTCTAGGGCAGAGCCAATCTCCCTGACAACCCCTTTTATGGGTCAGGAAATATTTTACAGGTGACTATTCAAAGATGGAACCACCTACTTGTAGCCTGAAGTTGAGCTTTTTCTCTCTGGGGACAGACTCAATCACTTGATGCTGCTGACTGTACACACTTGCCCTGACTAACCGACTATTTGCTCTGCTAAGGGGTAGAAGTACTGTGGCAGCCATTTTGTCATGACCATGGAACTGGGCTGTATGGGATTCTGGGGTTTTCCTTCTGCACCTTGAGAAAGTGTGGCCAATGTTCCAGCGCAGTGTCATGATCAACATGAAAAGGGAAAGTGAACTCCGAGGGGACAGGCCTGTCTCTTTCCTGCTCTCTGATATCGCAGTTTGTTAAAGCAATTGCCAGCATTAGACTCTGTGGGCTGTGTCAGAATTCAAAAGGAAAAGACTGGTGGGCCTAGAGAGAGTGTCATAAATACATATTTAAAAAATGGGTCAGCATTGCTTCCTGGGCCTCCTGAGTGCCAGTCAGCTGACTAAGCGATGATGGTTTTGCAAAAAACATTTCACGGTGTGCTGCAAAACCGCCACGTGGTCCCAAAGGCTGCTTTGTGTGTCACAAAATCCCTATACAGGAAGTATCTCCGGCCTGGTGACAGATGTGCAGCCTCCGCAGAGATCACATGTGACAACTTGCGTACGCAGGCTTCCTTGATGCTGATGGGAATCTGGGAAACAAAGAGTACACATGTGCTTTTCCACAGAAGGCAGGTGGATCCAGTCAGAAGAGTCACTTGCCCATATCAGCTGGTGTCTCGACAGAGCCCTGAGATATGGTAACTTGGCTAAAGTGATAATTAAGACAGGTTTTGAAAATGACTTTTCCAGGTTCAACTTCAGCTGCTGTAAAGTCTACAAAAGGTTATCAGTTCCAGGGTCAGAACATGGATACCCCTAGTTTTATAAACCAAGGTCTTGTTCACAAATACAATTGCTTAGTCCTTCAAATGTCTCTGAGCGTAGAATTGCTTGTCAAAACGGGCAGTGCTTGGTAGGTGGGAAGAAAGTTGGTGGCTGTTCGTTTTTGCTTGGCTCCTGGGTGCTGTTTTCCTTTCTGACACAGGAAGTGATCTGAGGCATCACGCTGTTGAGACGCTGAAGAAGAGCAGCTGCTTAAGAAGGCACAGGCCAGAGAGTTTTGATGGGAGAAGAATTAGAATGGATGGAGGAAAGGCTCTCTGTTTTCTGGGAGAGATGCACCCAACTTGAGAGGACAACAATAACAATAACAAAAAACAAACAAAACCAGAAGTCATGAGCATAGTGGATTGAAACTTCAGTGCCCGGAGCCCCGCAGGAGGTGAATAGCCTGACTGTCCCTGTTTACTTCAGAGTGACGTGTCCACAGTTCAAAGAGTGAGGGGCGGGGAAGCTTCACTAGGCCACTATTGGTTTGGTGGTGGGTTCCCTAACCTGGTGCTTTCTAGATGTTGTTGGACTACAACTCCCATCATGACTGCACATGCAGCATGGTGGCAAGGAGCTGGAAGTCTAATATGTGGAGGAGACCAGTCTGGTGAAGGCAGTTATCTGTTAGCAGTTGATACATTTGTAGATGCTGTCTGGATATGAGGGGCCATCACTGCCAAGTCCTTGACCATACATTGCTTGTTGAATCTTTCTGTGCTGTCATCATTTGGGGTTGGTTTTGGAGATTGCTCTTAATTTGTTTAGTGGTGGGGAGGGGAGGAAGAGTCCTACTCCTTCTACTGTGGTTGATGAGAATCTGGACTGCACTTAACTTTCTGTCAAAGCCAACATGAGACTCACATTCTCTTTAGCTATGTCAGATTTTTTTTAAAAAATAACATCAGGTAACAGAAACACAATCTTCACCAGGACCACAGTGCTTGGGGTGGGAGGAGTTCAACCCTTTCCTTCCCCTGCCAAGGCTACAGCTGTTTTGGTTTTAATTCCTGACTTGGTTGCTGAAGACACAGATCTAGTGGGCTGGGAAATGTGTTTGTAAAGCAACCACTGGCCCTCTTTTACACCTGGAGATAGATGCTGTGTGGTTTCTCTTTGGAGTAGCAGCTCCATGAACTGCTCAGTAGCTGACAAAGGGAAACAGGGTGCCTGTACCCTTTGAATAGTTGTGTTAGAACTGGGAGTTTTTGCAGTTGCAGCTCAGCTTTGCTCAGCTGGACGTGACAAAGTCATCTACTCAAATCTCCCCCTGCTCTTTCTTCTTCCACTACTATTTGTGTATGCAGGAGCCTCACCCTCCATTTCAACTCGTTAGCTAGCAATATTATTAAGGCAGGAATTTCCCCTAAGCATTTCAGCAAACTGCCCATTGTCTTCTCTTAGCATGTATTGGAGCCACCCTAATTAGTGTGCACACAATTTTCTACTCTTGAGGTGGCACTTTTGTACATTGATTCCAAGGTACTTCCAGGTGCTTCTATCTGTTGCTACAGTGAGGAACAGTTGCTGGCAAGCAGGAAGCACAACAGAGACACTGTATTGCAGGGTTATAGATCTATAGGAGCATTTTTTTGGTTGGACAATACTTCTGTTATCTGGGCCAATCCTGCTAACCCATGTAAAGCTAGTACTAATCTGAGTGGGCCTCTATAAGGACATAATAGCTCTGCTTGATCAGACCAAAGGCCTTTTTAATCCAGCATTCTGTGATGCTGAGACGAAAATTTTCGTTGTGAAATGGTTGTTGCAATGGGCTGCAATATTCTAACTTGAACCCCTTCCAGAATATTGATTTCCCCCTCTGACCAAGAGTCCTGAGGTTCTTGTGCTGTGCCTGCCTCTGTTTCTAGTCTGACATCTTTCAAGAAGGGGATAATGGACCCTGGAAAATGACTGTTGAAGGGGAAGAGAACAGGCTTTTTGTAATTATGGCTCTTTACAGAAAAACTAGTGTGACTCATCTATTTGGTGTAGGGTAGATATCTTTCAGCAGCACAGACAGGGGAAAATAAAAGGGACAGATTAAATTTCTAGGCTTCTGGAGAAAGGAAGAGATGACAAATGCAGGAAGGGAAGCAGAAATCCAACAATTGCAGTGGTCAGGTTTATTAGAACCAGTAGGACCCCCAACAAAATATGGAAGTATACCCCCCCCAATCCCTTTCCTCCACGACTCCAGCCTTTAGCTAGAAGGCATTTAAGCTAGCCAATTGTTTATTTCCCTCATTGGCAATCAATATTCCGTGGTTCCTGGAAGCCATTAAGCATGCTCAATACTCATTGGTCTGGGTTGTGGGAGTTTTGAGAGAATGGAGTCCCCCTTGAAACAGCCCCAGGACTCAGCTACATTAGTAAACAACAACAACAGCTTTGTAAATGCGTTATAAACATGCAACACCAGATGGCACTATGGAGCACAAAACTTTTCTTAATGTTCCCCCACATTCTAGCCATTTTGGCGCCTTTTGAAATTGAGTGATTTGAGCTCACTGTTAAAAGGAACAAGTGTGGCCTGCAACAAAATGTTGCAGTGTGTTCTGATACCCTAAGAGATGTGTGCTTGTTGGTGGCTCTAGAGCCTTGCTGGTGCTACTCAGTGTGGAGGTGGAGTTTCAGGAGTGGGATGAAAGAAAGGGGGGGAATTCTGCCTCCCTCACCCTCTTGACTGTAAAAAGCAAACGAAAAACAACCTACTATGCAATTCTATAAATTTCAAATCAAAAGTAAATTCCATTTTGATTTCAATGGAGCATTCTCCCAAGTAAGTGGATATCAGATTATTCCCTACCTCTTGAGTCACCACTGCAATAGCCAGATCCCTTTCAGGAGCTAGCACTTTACTGAAACAACATATATATAGTGAGAGCAGAGCAATCCTAATCATGTCCACTCATAACTAAATTGTATTTAATTCGCCAGGGTTTACTCCCAGCTAAAGGAGGTTGGGATTACATCCTAACTTTCCCTTCCCCTGCTGGAAAAGCCAAGCGCTTTCTCTCTCTCTCTCTCTCTCTCTCTCTCTCTCTCTCTCTCTCTCTCACACACACACACACACACACACACACACAGAGTGTGGGATGAAGATTTATGCATTCATTTCAATGAATTCATTCCCCCACTCCTCTCTGCCCTGAATTTATCAGTTTTCTGTTTGTTTGTTGTGATTTTTACAGTAAAGTTGCTTGTTTCTGTTGTACTGCTCCAGAAGAAACAGCCCTCTCAAAGAAGCCTTCCCCTCAAGACAATGTGGCTATGGATCTGTTCTCTCCCCCCTCCCCCTTTATAAATTATTGGCTTTGTTATTCTGCTTCCTCCTTTTCTTTGCTTGCACATACCAAACAGCTTAGTGCAAGCTAGTAATTTGGAAGGGGAGAATGCCACTGCAGCTTGCTAAACAAAGTGAAAAGAGGGGGTGGAGGAGTGTGGGGGCTGGCTCTCTCAGCCGTGTTTGCATGTTCTCTCCTCGGTACAGGATGCTGCGCTGGGAGAACTATGAATAAAAAGGCCGCAGATAAATGGCATAGGAAGGGGGAATGGCAAAAACTGAGAGGGCTGCCATTCCGAGTTCACTTAGGAACATAGGTAGCTGCCTTATGTGGACTCTGACCAACTGCTCCACCTTGCTCTGCGTTGTCTACTCTGACCAGCAGAAGAGGCTCACCAGAGTTCTTTCTGGAGATTGCAGAGATTGAACTGGGGTCTGTCTGCATGCAAAGCAGATGCTTCTACCGCTGAGCTTTGGCTCTTTCCAAACACTTGAAAATTTGGGGAACGTGGCTAAAGTGCTTGCCCTGCATTCATCCTATGCTGCTTAATACGTTCTATCCTAAATTTTACAATTGTGATATATGTTATGTAATAAGGGGTTTCACTCCCTTGTCCAGGTGCAGAACTCCAGGAGAAAAGTACGAACCATGTAGCTGGGTGCAGATTAATCAAAATCTCCATTTTATCAACCATCCATGCCCACTCAAGCTGCCAGATCACTGACCCACCTATCCCATTGGAGGCTCTTACTTCCTAGGAACCTATTCTTGGAAAAGGAAGCTTTATCCAAGATAGAACATTTTAGGATCTGTAATATCAAGCCCCCCCCCCCAGCCTGGTAGGCAGAATACTTGCTCTGTGATGCTTAATCTGTGGTGGTTCATTCGTTGGGGCTTCAGTGATAACCAAGCTGATCTTTCTTTTTTCAAGTTCTGGTTGGCTGAGTCATAAGTAATTAAAAGGCCTCCTCTAGTCTATTTATGGCTTTGCTTTTAATTTCTAGCTATTTCAAACTAAGTGCTAGGAAAAGCAGCTCATAGGGGAATAGTTAGCAGTCCCCCTCCCACTCTTTGTCTGCTCAAAATTGCAGCCTCCCAAGGGTGCTTTGGTGCACCGGGGGACACTGGTGAGCTGCAAATACAATTTAAGACGTGCTGCACTGTTAGAATCTGATGTTTTTCTGTGGACTGTGGGTTATGGAGCTTTGGTATGTGCCAGTTGTGGCAGGTCTGTTGCTAGAGTGGTGTGGTGGGTGCAATTCTCTGGAGGTGGGATGGGGAGCAGGGATTGTTAAAAAAAAGCTGTTCATGCTTTTTGAGTGTGCATGTGTGAATGGACCATGTCCTGTTTGATGGGGACCCAGCACTGCCTGCCTTTTCACCTCCCTTGGGGGAAATAATAGGTGTGTGTGTGTGTGTGTGTGTGTGTGAGAGAGAGAGAGAGAGAGAGAGAGAGAGAGAGAGAGAAGGGTCCTGACTTTAAACTTGGTAAGCAAGCTGGAGCTTTATCAAATTATATTCAGGCACCCTCCAGCTTGGCTTTGAGCAGAGTTCAAAAACAGATAGAGAGAGAAACAGAATCAAAATGCAGAGTTCTAAAACTCCCTTGCTCAAAAAAGGTAATCTAGTTTAAATATCGCATAGAAATGTACTGTCACAACCCTGTTTCGAATGATAAAAATACATAAACTCTTTCTACTTGTTTCCATCTTGGAAGAGGATGATGGGAGAGGATTGCCAGGAGATTTTCATTTTCTTTTTTTGCTGGATATATTATAGGTCTATATTTAATTTTGTTGGTGGAAAAACTGTATGCAGCTGTTCCTGAAACCTCCAGCAGTTTTGCTGTGGTGGCAATGATGGCCTGCCTGTCTCTCCTGGTGCTTTCACCCAACATGTAGTAGACAGCACCATTAGAAGAGACCCTGACTTAGGCCAATTACCCATCAAGATCAGCATCCTCCTCTCACAGTAGCCAATCAAATGACTGTGAGAAGCCAGCAAACTGGTTCTGAGTGAAATAGTATTCAGCCCACCTGCAGTTCTCATGAACTGGTAGTCAGAGGCATAGTGCCTCTGACAATGGAGGGTGCCCCCTGACCTGTCCCCTCTAAGCTAGCTTTCTGCCCTGGGTGTGGTGGAAGATGCTGCCCTGTCTTGAAGTATGATTGAGCTATTAGCATAATTATGTAAAATGGACAAGGGAGGGAATGCACCTGCTTTGGGCAGCAAAATGTATTGAGCTGGCCGTGCTAGTTGAAAACCTTTCCTAAACGTTATTTGACCTGGGATGGAGACTGGGAAAAGCTTACCTTGCAACATTCTTGAAAAGGCCATGAGCCATCTAAGACCTTGCCAACAAGTTTTGATCAATTCCATCATTCCAATGATCTTTGGATGCTGCATTGCGCTTTTTCAAGGGCAATGGAAATAATCCAATATTTTCCCATCACACATTGCATGTGGGACACACACACACACACACAAACACACATACACACACCAAGATTTCATTGTGGATTTGTGAAAGCTTATTATCAAGGACCTCTAAAATGGAGGTTGCAAATTTAAGAACACCTATCAATCAATGCATAGGTAGCCATTGATCCATCTAGCTTCACATAAGCTACCACATTACCTAGCAGTGGGTCTCCTGGGTTTCTGACAGGGGTCTTTCAGCCTTACCTGAAGATGCCACGAATTGAACCTGGGACCTTCTGCATGCAAAGCACTGAACTACTTTCCTTCCTCCTAATAGGAAGTGAATCCCACTGAGCTCAGTGAAATTTGCATCCCTGGTGTCAACATGCCTAGGATTGTGCTGCATGTCTCCTACAACCTTCCAATAATTCCCAGGGTGTTTGTTCCTTGCCGCTGGGATTTTGATTTTCCCAATATTTACTGCTGGTCTAACAAAGTGTGATGTTGGGAGCCTCTGGGACTTGGTCTCTGGAGTGTGGCGCGGGAGACTAAAGGAGTGGCGGTGTCCCCTTCTGGGTCCAGGCTTGAAACTGATGAGCAAAAATGGTCAAAAAAGGTACCATGCCATTGGAGCTACTGACATATTAAACCACTGCCATCAGGTGCCCATGTTTTGTCCCACCGTGTCTGTTTATTTCTCTTTCTCAGCGGAGTCTGTTGGAGAAAATGAGGCACTGCTTTTGCCATCTCCAGTCTGCACTCAGCTAGTCCCCACCTACTTACAACCCACCCACAGGGTGCTGCTGGCTCTCAGCTTCTCCCTCCTTATACTCGGTGCTGCCCTGTAAAAGTCAGCGGGGAGGAGGGTGGGGACAATACTAGAATTTGTGTGCTGCTTCTGTCATTGGTTGTGGCTCCCTGTCTTCCGCCCTTCCAGCCCCAGTGGCCAGCAGCTGCCACGGCCCCTTCTTACGTCTTTCGCTGCAGGCTCTTCAGAACAGGAGACTGTTTGCCAGCCATACTTGGCAGCACAGTTCAAAGTAAGTAGCCGCCATAAATGAGCACCGCCTTTTCTTAGAAAGTAAAATACAGAGGCCTCCCCCAAACATTTTTGTTTAGATCAGCCTACCCAGATATTTAGAAAGTTGGTGCGAGTTTTTATCTTTCCCCCCGTCTATTGTTATTTTAGCTTGATTTTAAATTTTTTTACAGATAATGTTTTTCTTTCATTCCTATTTTTTGTAAACTGCTTTGAGGGTTTTTTTAAACAATCAGGCAGTGTTTAAATTTTATGAAATAAAATAATATAAAAAACACGACCCTAGATCATTGACTGGTGTCTAGTATGACAGGGTTGATATTTGGCCTCAGTAGGTCTACTGCAACATCAACACTATGTTACCATGCAAATATATAGCAAAATATTAAGTAGTGAGTCCTGAAATACATGTCTGGGCAAAATGTGTGTCTCCAGGTCTGAAAAGATGGGATACTGCTCTTGATGTCTTTTGTGACTTGACCTTCGTATTTCTAATTTATCTTGCAGGTTCTATAACATGATCCAGCAGCATATTGTTTGAGCAGGGCGCCCTCCAGGAACACGGAATTATAGCTGCACAAGGCCAAGCAGTTTTGAGGCGGATCCTTTTTTATTGGGATTTTGGCTCGAGGGCCAAGTGAAGGGAGCCGGGGTCAGTCCAACCTGCTTTGTGCCTCCCTACCACCCCTTTTGGTTTGGTCTGAGAGCAGGAGTGGGTGGCCTCTGCTGTGCAGCTGAGCAAGATGGAGTCCAAAGGAAGCACCCGAGGTGGAAATAAGCCTGATGCCAAGACCGCCAGCTCAGGGAAGCCGGAGAAGCCCAACCCTGGCCCTGCCACAGCTGCCGATAAGAAAGAAGCCCCTTCAAAGGAGCAGCCGGCTCCTCCTGCCACCACCCCAGCAAAAAAGGCGGCAACGGCGGCAGCCAGTGAGGCGACCATGCTGAACAACCACGGCAACATGAAGCCTAGCTCTGCTGGGGGAGCGTCGGAGGGCGCAGAGGCCGCAGGTCATCCCGCTGACTCTGAGCACAAAGGGAACAATGCGGAGGAGTCTCCGGGCAGCAGCATTTTTGAGAACATGAAGCCTCTGATCATCGTCGGAGGGGCGGCGGTGGCTGCCATTGCTCTGATTGTGGGAGTGGCTCTCCTTGCCCGGAAAAAATAAATTGCACCCAAGAAGCGCAGGGGAGAGGAATAACCCTGGGCTGAATGTACAGTTCCTTTTGAAACAAAATGCATGTGGTAAACTCTATACATACCTATAAATATGCCGTATATAGAGAGAAAGAGTTAAGTAGGTACAAACTGCAATGCTGGCCGCTGCCTTGCTCAAAGCAGATGCGCCAGCATTGGCCTAGCGCGGGCACTTGGTGGGCTTCTGCTCTTTTGTGTAATATAACTCAGCTAGCAGCAATGTGTATAGATGGCTTTTCTTCTCTGGTCCGTATGAGCTCTTGCGGTGTTTTCCTTTCCTTCCCCACCTTTTGTCCCGAGGTTGGCTCCAGGGTCACTTAGAGTTCTCAGCTTGGTTACACTGGATTGTGGTAGAGCAGGTAGAAACGGAGAGTTCCCATCAGCAGGGTCCCCCGTTGTCATCTCTGTTCCAGCACACACTGTAAAGTGGTGTGAGAATGCTCACAAGCTAGAGCTTCTTTCCTGATCCAAGGAGGATAGGGTGTCCCTAGTACGCGTTTCGTCATAGCATTAATGTGCTCACTCTGTCCCCCCTTGCCTAATTTCAAAGTAGCAGCAGGAGCACGGGGGGCTTTCAAAGGTCAAGAAGCAAGCATGGCCTGCTCAGAGCCATAGGGTAGCCTTGCCATCCCACCGTGCAATATATGGGCATGGTGATGTATAGCTGCCTGGCTGCGGATTTCAATGGGCATTGCAATTTAGTAGTGCATTTTCTGTTGAAGCACCTGGTGCTGTGCTGGTAAACTTCTTATGCAGGACTTGATGCCATTGATACTTAAAGCAACATGATTCAAAATATGCGGAAGTCAAGGAGGCGTTCTGTGCTTATGGATTTGGGATGAATGCTAGCGCTTCGCTGTGGAAGGTTGACCTGTCATTGTATGCCATGTATGGAAGGGGAAAGTAAGAAGCAATTATGGGCTGGCTGGTTGGTTGGTTCTTTCTTTTGCTTTCCTCTTTTTTTTAGCTTGTGACCAATCAACAACTGGATTATGGTTTAGGAAGTATTTATGTATGGAGCATCCTGCCCAGGTGCACAGATTTGAGATGGATGGGTTGTCTTTTGCTATCTGACACTTTATAACTCTAATGCTGGAGGAGCCAGACAAATGGGCTAATCCCATTTATTTCACTGGGCATTTCAGTGCAGGGAAAAAATGGCAACCGATTCATTGAGGCAACTCCCCCCCCCCTTAATAAATTAGAACCAATGGGCATTTAAGAGGGGAGGAAATTTCCTGTGTCCTGAGTTAGCCTTGCTACATTGGTGGCCTTCCTGAAGAATTAAAATCAGACTTTGAGAGGAGAAAGGATCAGTGGAATGTATGTTGACGTATCTTTGTTAATATATCTACCAGAGATAATCCACTAACCATAGGAACATTGGGACATAAATTGTAATGTAGGGATGACCGTTTGAAACAAGAAGCTTACATGTATATTTTTGCTTAGATTGAATCTGATGCGAAAGTGGTGATTGACATCAGATTAGTGTTGTTGTTTTTTTAAAAAAGGAAAGGCTAATTAGATTGAACTAGGAGTTGTAAAGCTTTTTTCTGTTGTTAGGTTGGGATAGATATGAGCAGCCAAGTTTTTGTTGCAGTACAGACTTGCTCATGAATTAATGTGGGTACTAGATTTCTTTTGCATTTTAGTCTCTGGACCCACAACTTGATCATGAAATAGGATGAGATGGTGACAGTGGCAGGACTACAGTTCATCGTCTTGAAGACCAACTTTCTCTCCCTTTCTTTCGTATTTATGGTTGTGACGTGATAGGTTAGGTCTATAGGGGAATCATTCACCAACAGTCATTGCTTAGTACTGTGGTGTCCCACTGTCTAGAACAATTCTCCAGAACCCACCTCCAGGCTGAAAGCACCTGTATTTTTGTGTGTATGTATGTGTACAAGCTTTCCTATACAAGCTTTCCTACCCTTATTTGAGAGTATCTGTGTATATAGTACAGTTTACTGAAGTCTTTGTAAAGCTACAAAACCTGTATTCTTTGTACAAAAAGCAAAAGGCAACCATTATTTGCGCACCTGCATTCACACAAAGTGTCCATGTTTTGTGCCACTTGCATTCCACCATGCAGCATCCGAAACCATGGTTTCCTTCCAATAAATGAATGTATGGTTAGCCAACTGGTGAATGTACGATAATCCCTCTTGTGCTGGGAGCTGAAAACTACTGCTTCTAAGCAGACCCTTTTCAAAATGAGAAATCTAGTCAGTATAATCTTCTGATGCAGTCAGCAAAAAATAGCCGTGTACCAGCACTGCACATTCCTTATATGTGTGTGTGGCACATTCCTCCCTGAAGTTTCCATGTAAACCAGGAGGTGTTATCATTGTGACTCCTGCCCATCATTGACCCTTTTGGAAAAAAGAAGGGCACTCGCCTTGCTTACGCCTTGCCTGGCTCCTGCTTCTCAGCTGCTCCTGCGTTGGCATATTGAGGCAGGGCATAGGCATAGCTGTCAATGTTTCCCTTTTTTAAAGGGAAATTCCCTTATTCTGAATAGGATTCCTCACAAGAAAAGGGGAAAGTTGACAGCTATGGACATAGGCTGGTGGGCTCCCTGAGTTTCTTAAGTAGCCCTCGGCCATGCATCTCCAGTCAGTTGTACTGCAACAAGGCACCTTCTTGTGTCTGTGACTGTGAGATTGCTCATTTGGCCAGGTGGTGGAGAGGGGAGGGAAAGAGGAATATGTGTGTGTGTGTGTGTCCTCTGAACTTACTAAATCTGTGCTTTATGGAAGTGTGAATATAACACTGCTATATTGGTAAGCCTTACGAGTTTCTAAATGCATGTCCCTGACCATGTGCAGACTCTTTCGTCTGCTTAAAGAAGCTGAGCAAATCAGAATGTGCTGCAGATTGTGTCTATTCTTTCATAAGCTTTTTCAACTTTACTAAGTTGGTGTCTTTGCCCAAAATAGCTAGACTCACTCACTCCTCACCACTCTCACACTCACTAATATATATATTGCCTGTTGCTTAAGAGCTGAACTATTAATCTATACCAACTCATTTTTCTTACCTTTGCTCTTAAGCTTTTATATTCTCCCCTTCCTCCAAGCTGTCATGGTACTGCCTCCTTTTATCCTCACAACAACCTTTCAAGGTTGGCTAGGCTGAGAGATAGTGGCTAGGCCAAAGTCACCCAGTTTAGAACAGGACTAGGGAAGCTTTGGTCCTCCATATATTGCTGGACTGCAGTTCCCATCATCCATGACCACTCACCATGCTAGCTGCTGGTGGTGGAAACTGGAGTCCAACAACACCTCGAGGACTACAAATTGCTTAGCCCTAGCTGAGAACTTGGGTCTTCCAACTATGAACCTCTATGACACACTGGTTTTCTTAAAGTGCAATCCTATACGTGCCTATTTAGAAGTAGGCCCTGTTGAGTCCTTTGTACTGGATTTGCTGCCAGGGAAGTAAGTACTGTATAGGATTGCAGCTTTATTTGGTTTGTGGCAGCAGGTCTGCCAGTACAAAGGTTTGATCCACTCAGAGGCTGATGATGTGTGCTTTTAGATAAATGCATTGCAAGCCCTACTCTCTGAGGAGGGCTGGAGAGAGAGCGAGAGGAGAGAGAGAGAGAGAGAGAGAAGGCTGAGGAGCTGGTGGCAGAAACTGCCTCAGGCAGAGCAGCACACATAGAAGGGGTAGTAGAGGAAGTGAGTGATGGTTGGATTGTGTGCACCATATTTCTGTCATAATTGCAGGAACCTACTTATCTGAAATTGTTTTTGTATATGCCAGAGATTTGTAATCCTTACCTCGCATTGAATAGCATTTTAATCTGGTGGAATTCGTAGGGGATTATCCTGGGCATAGTATTTAATTAATATTGAACAGGGCATGCTAATTCGCTTATAACCTGCTTTTAGTAGCTGTAGGTATATATAACTATTTGACACATTATCAGAAGATGCCAAAAGCTGAAGTATGAGCGTGTCACACTTCCTGTGTGGATATCATTGTTTGCTGTTGGGGCATGCCACCTGTTCCCATGGTTTGAGCCCAGGCATCTACCAATGGGGGCAATGTGAAAGTTTTATGCATTAACTTGGAAGTGCAATTCACTCACGATTCACTGTTTTTGGTGTATGATGCAGGCCCTAGATACAAAAAGTGTTGTTGGACTCCACTGAAGTTCAAAGTGACTGTGAATCTTGAGTCCCTTGTAGTAATGGGGGTCTTGGTTTGTATACCAAGGTTCATCCTGTTCCCCATGTTTACTGGGAATGGGTATTTACTAATAGATCAGTGCAAAATACCGTGGACTGAAGAATATGGATCCAACTGCAGGTCAGAATTAAGGTGTCTAGGCAAACCTATGTGACGGAAGCTAGTTCAGTTCTTTAATGTGCTCTTCTAATGTAATAAAATACTCTGTACATACTTAGCCAATCAATATTGTGAGCATGAAACCAGAAAAAAATGAAATATTCATGTTTTGGGGAAAGGAGTAACAGTCTTACTTCTGATTTAATAATCTTGGAAAACTACCACCCTCTGATTTCATATTCAGAAACAGAAATGCACATTTGAATCTTTGCTTCACCCCTAAGCATGCATTAGAAGGGTGGTGAAAATCTGCCTTGAATACAGCAAGGATAATTGATAAGGGTAATTGGGGACCTGCTATTCGGAACATAGAGAGATGACTTGAACATGCACATAAAATCAGTATTTCAAGCTGGCACAGACATAACATTGCTGTTATGTATGCTAAGGATGAAATGCTCTAATTGTATTTGTTAATTGTGTATGGCTTACCCAGCCCACCCAGGATTTGGAAGTGGAAGAGTGACGGTGGGGGGTGGGGCATGGATTTGGAAGCAGGAAACTGGCAGGAACAGGGATAAGATTCCTCTCATCTTGGAGACTGTGACCTGCGTGGCTGTATTTAGGAGCAAATGAAATGAAAAGGGAAACATTAAGGTAAAAGCTACATCTGATGTCATGTTAAGTCCAAAAAACAACAGCTTTTCACAGATTTGGTATGTGTTTAAAGCAGGCAGGTGGGTTGACAAGAGTTACTTCTACTACTTATCCAATGTCCTGGCTCCATCCATCTTTCACTCTCTGCCCTGCCCCACACCCATCTGTTCCACAAGACCTCTGCCAAGACCTTGGTGGAATTTGATTGGGAAGGGATTCTGCTTACACACTTTGCTTCTTCCTGAACCCTTGTCTAAGGCGCACAAATGGCCCCCGCTTCAGCTTCTCCACACAATGGAACTTCCCACACTCTGCTAGACAGTTGTCATGTTTAATTTGTCTCCTTAGGTCATTTTAAATGTGAGCTTCTGCTTCTAATGTGAATGTAAAACCTGCATTGGCCGCAATATACATTTTTTATTTTTCTTCTGAATTCTCTCTCATATTGATAGCATTCATATGTACCCCAAGAAGTGTGAGAGAGACCCAAACGGTCTTGAGTAAAATAAAATAAAATCCTGCTATAGGGACTAGTATAGTCCCCAAAACTGAAGGCCATGCCTTGATTTGAAGTCAGACGTTGACACTAGATATTAAAATTCAGTCATGGATAGTCATGCAGGGTTTATTGGTAACAGTTGTAGCAATGCCTAGTTGTGAGAAATACATTTAATTCCCACCCCACCCCCCATGTAATTCTGTCTTATCATTTGCCAGTTTTTGTACCACTGTAGCTTCAACTAGCCTCCTGAACTATCAAAAGAGCAAGGGGAATACTATTGCCTCAGTAACCCTTTTGTGATTTGTCAGTGTTTTCATAAATGTACTTGTGGTGACCTTCTTTGCCCTCTTTTAATTCTTATGCCTTTTCCTAAACCAAAAGTTAGGGAAAGGCATAGAGTAATACTTGCAAATGGGAAATGCTAATTTATTCAATCTGAACGTTCGCTATCTGCTTAAGGGGATCACTTGACTAAAACAAATATATATCAGATGAACATAGCAAAGGTCATTACAAAAAACAAGTATTTCTAAAGGGTCTCCCCATTATCTCTAATGGGCCCCAAATATAATTTCTTTTTTGAATTGAATTTGTCAAGCAACATCTTGATTTCCGCCCCTCCCCTGCAAATGAACAGATCCACTTACCACTTAACACATCAATTGGCCTGTGTGTATAACATGCAGATTTGGGTTTCTTTTTGAGTCCATTGTTGGTGACTCCGTTTCCGCAAAGGAAATGAAAGCCTACTGACACACACCAAGCTAGAAAAATAATTTGTACCTTTTTGAATTTATAATCTTGCCTATGCTTCTATGGACACTTTGTATGGGCTGCAGCTCAACTCCTTAAAATCAGCAAAGAATTTTTCCTTTCCCATATAGTATTCTCTTTTATTTGACTTTTAAAATGCGTATAAATGCAATAATGCAGGTAGACTAGAAATACTAGATTGAAAATTAAAGTAGTTTAGCTTGTCCCATTGTGACCTACAGTGTTGTATGTCACCCAACGCTGTATCCTAGCATTCTCGAGGCTTTCCTACGTAGCTGAATCTAGTATTAGCTTTGAAAATCCATTGTGTGAATGGCGGGTGGGTTGATTGGGAAAGTGTACGCTTTTACACAATGTATGTTACTTGCATCAGAAGCTATATGGCCACTCCATATACTATGAAACTGTAAATGATTCCCAATATACCTGTAACTCTTATCAAGATTGTGTGAAATAAACTATATATATATGTATATTGTACACTTCTTATAGTGACCATCATTTTGTGTGTTATGCTTGAGTTTTGAGTCCTACTGTGTTTTAATTCTGGCTACATAATTTTAGATGACATGGAGTTCTGCACACAGAACTGGAATGATTTCCCATCCTACCAAGGAGGGACCCTGCTACTTAGTGAACTGAAGTGACAAGAGAACATAGAAACTAGTACTTTCTATCAACACATCTGTCTAAAATATGGAGAAAAAGGAGCCTTAACATGAGGAATTTGGTGAATAATACAAAATTTATTGCAGCCTGTTCAGACTAGAACTGTGGGAATGTATTTGTCTATTCTTCGTTAGTTTCTGGAAATCAGAGCAATAAGAAGGGTGGGTTGCGAACTACCTAGACCTAGAGCAATATTCTGAACATCTCTGCTGGTAATACATTTCCAGAGTTTATTTAGAGCACAACTATGCTATTCTAACTCCAAGGCTGCAGGGATTTAAATGAAAGCTTTATAATGAGTCTCTTCTGCATGTGCTTTCTCTATTTCCTCATGTTGCCTGCAAGAGGGATTCAAAATGTTTGCTTCAGGATCACACTTGTTTTCCATTATACCTGACATTGGCTAGGGCTTATGGGAGCTGTGAATTCATAAACATCTGAAGGGCGCCAGGTTGTCTACCCTCGGCATACATGATTCTTTTTCTTTCAATGTGTATCACTTTGCTCTAACACTGAGGTCCCCAACTTGGCAGACATGGGCACTTTCCCCTCCAAGGCCTCTTGCCCCTCCCAATAAAATTGTTGCTCTTCATTTGCTTGGAGGGGTTGCCAGGTTTCTTTTGGGGGGAAGGATATGGTCTACTTTTTTCAATCTGTGTTTTTTTGCTTTGTTTCAGGTTGTACTGTATGTAGCTGTTTTCTCTACTTGCAGGAGGGTTCTGAGCACTACCAATATTTATTCTGTGCCTAGGAGCAAACTCAAAGGGACCTTGGGCCCACAAATAAAATATTTGAGGGGGCTGCCCTCCCCCAAGTTGATGGGCATTGTCATTCAAATAGTATGTGTGCTCTGCATCTTGTGATCAATTATTTGGGGAGAGCTTACCCCCCCCCCATTTTATTCAAGGTGGCATCCCTGCTTCTGTGAAATGAGCCAAACTCTTTGCCTAATGTTCAGATGGTTTCAGCTTCTTCAAAGAATTCATCCCCCTACAATCGGTGGAGTGTCAGGAGATTATTGACATACATAATATACTTTGTGAGCTAAAATGAATATTCTCTGCAAATGAAAACACACAAACTGGTGTTATGTCATTACCTCACATGAAGTTAGTCATTCTCTAGTTTCTCCCCTTTGTACTTTTTAGGATCAACAGGCAAAATCCTTCCTGAAAGAATGATTAGTTTCTGGTTCTCTAAAGAAAAAGTGACAGCATTTATAGAGACTATTTTTTTCCTTGCTAGTCCTATTTTCTCTTACTAGGCAACCCATGCAGGCTAAGCTATAACTTGTTCACTGCAGTAATCTGATGGCTAACTTCATATTGTGTAGAATAGTAATTAATCAATATATAAACAAATATAAAAGCCATGCTAATCTTTTGTGCTAAAGAGAAATATGTCTGATAGCACCTTGAGACTAACAAGCTTTTTATTACAAAATGTGTATTCAATTGATTATTTGTTTATTGCATTTATGAACCCCCCTCCTTCAAAAGGAGCTCAGAGTAATGTATGCTAAGAGATAAAACAAGATTTATCAGCAAATGATAACAAAATCATTAAAACACAGATTGGTTTCAGCTGTGAGTTATTAAAACCAACAAAATATAATTCTGTAAAGGGAGGGTAAACAAAAATGTCTTCAACTGGTTTCTGAATACAGTATAAAAAAAGCGGAAGCCAAATGTAAGTCCAGGGAGAGGGCATTCCAAAGGCAAAGTAGCACCACAAAGGAGACTGTTACACATTCCTGGGCAACAAAGCCTTGTAAAGATCACAAGCAGAACCTTGTCTTTGCCTCCCAGTCTCAGGCACTGAATCAACTGGTATCGGAGGAGGTGCTCCTGCAGATACAGTACTTGGCTCCTGTCTGCAACTCGTACTTCACTGCACTAATCTTGGATGCATTTGGCACCCCAAACCTATCCTGTGGCTGGGGCAACCCAGTCAGATGGGTGGGGTACAAATAATAAAATTGTTGTTGTTGAGCCTATTCTCCATGGAGTTTGGACCTGTTTGATGATGACACAGAATTCCAGTATTCTACCAACAGAGTCTTTGGGTGCTAAGAAGACAGTGCACATGCTTTTGAAAGCTTCCATGAGCAGGCAAGTAGATGATCAATTTTTCTATGCCTTTGAATTTGAGAACAAATCAATAAAAGGAATCAATAGAACATGTTTCCTGCTCCAGAGAAGTTGTCCCATGCCAGTCAGAAAAAGCCTTGGTATGAAATTGACCTCATACATGAATTCTGCTTTTAAATGATTGGTTAAGCAGACAGTAATAGTCAATGTGCTGCTTCTCAATTCTGTTCCTGATTTCTCCGCGCATAAAAAGGTAAATAAAGGTTCTGCTGGATCAAGTCAAAGGTCCATATAGCTGAACTTTCTGTTTCCAGGTTAGCCTCCCTGGGGGAGCCAATGCAGAAAAGGCCTCTGCAGCTGGTCCTTGTGGCTGTTTAGAGGCTGCTTAACCCTTCCCCTTCCAGCCCAGCTCAGACTCGAGAGCCGCCTGCTTTGTTTCAGGCGCTGGAGGGATCCACCCCTGCTGCTGCTGCTGCCGCTGCCGCTGCCGCTGCCGCCGCCGCCGCCTTCAAGGCATCGCATCCGCTTCCCCGCTCTGGCGGAGGGAGGAACCGCCCTACCCCGCAGTGACGCCACACCTGCCTCTGGCCCATCTCCCTCAGCTGGGGCCGCACGCACCATGGCGCCTGCGCAGCGCAGCCTGGCGTAGCGGAGGGGGGATAGGCCTCTCTGCCTGCACTCCAGGCGCTGCTAGGCTTCCCCACCTCCGCCGGCCGGGAGCGCATGAGAAGGCGGCCGCCGCCTGCTTCCTCTTTCCCGCGGGGAGGCTCCGCGGACGACGAGGCCGCCATCATGTCGGAGAGGCTCAGCAAGCCGACGTGCCTCATCGCGGCCAGCGCGGCCGCAGCAGGTGAGGGGCGGGCAGAGCGAGCTCGGGCTGGTGGGCGGGCGGGCGCCCCTCTGAGCTTTTTATCTCCTCGGCTCGCCCTGTGGCGGAGACGGAGCTGCGCGGGGCTTCTGCTCGGAGGACCCGGGGTTGGCGGGATGGAGGCGCCCGAGGGAGGCTGCGGGGAGCCAACCCACGCCAGCGGCATTCCCATTTCTGCAGGGCGGGGCGAGGTTACCTTGTCATTTCTCTATTGTTATCATCATTGTTGTTGTCCGTCGCCTAAGAGTTGTAGGAGCCCTGGCAAAATAAACACTTTAAAATAAAATAAAATTGCAACCCTAAACAGGAGAGGGGAGGCCGGGCCTGCCTTCCTGCACAAGCAAACATGACAATCCTTTTTTATTATTGTAACAATCCGGAACACCTGCCACACTCTCATTCTGGTACTCTTAGTCTCCGATATGAGCCTGAAATCCTTACTCATATTGTACGAATTGTGCTTGAAGCTGGCTTGTTGAGATTGCCCCTCACACACCACACCATACATTGAAAATGCTCTTATGCCACCTTAGACACTCGGGGAGGATCCTGGGAACTGCAGTTTGTTAAAAGATTCTGGGGATTGAAGTTCTTCTGTAAAGTCAGCCACCATGAGAGACTGCAGTTCTCTGTGTTTGTTAAAGTGGTTAGCAATACTTTGAATGTATGGTGTGGATGCAACCTACTTAATATTGCTCCCTTCCTTGAGCTCTGCTTCCCCTTTTTTACTTTTATGATGTGGCTTTTTCTTACTGCATATCTCTCCTGCTGCATGAAATAGTTTGTCACAATTCTTCTCTCCTGGAGTTGTAAAACTGATTAGATGTTGATGTAATTTCTTGTCTGTTTGGGGCAGTTACCAGCATCCTAAGCTGGCTGTCTTTTTCAATAATATTATGAATATTGTGTATTATTAAAATGCTCCTTATAGGAGAAAAATGACCACCAGGAATAGCAGATTAGTACTGTGAAAAATGTGCACTTGAAAACAAACGAAACATGCCTTTTGTTTAATTCCTGTTTTCCAGGGGTATCTGCTGATTCCTTCCTTCACTCTTTTACCCTGGCAAGCTCTGCTTTTAATCTACAGGTTGCTACTCCAGGGGTAGGTAAAAAATGTTAATACCTAACTGTGGATATTGTTGCAATAGATTTCAGACAGTAGTATTAGGCTCATTTAAAACAAACGGAACTTGCGAAAATCCATGAGGTTTATTCCTCGACCAGTGAAGATCATTTTTTGGTCTTTGAAAGAATTGTTGAGGGAGCTGCATCCCAGGGCAAGCAACTCATACCTCAAAATCACATATGTGTGGGTGGGAGGATTGGGTGAGGGGATTGGGATCCAGAGATACCAGAGATACATTCCACAGAGAAACTTTCAGAATAAAGAGGCAGCCCTGCTTTGTAGGGCTGTTGGGTGGAAGTGCATTAGGTTCCAAAAATGCCTGGTGTTCTGCTGCCAGGTGTATTGCCTTGTTACATGAGGGAAGAATGCACAAACAATCCTTGCCTGCTGATTCTTTTTTCTTTGTAGCAGGAAGTAATTTTTATCCCCTGCTCCAGAAATTGGAGCCTTACTTTCAAGAGCCAAATGTGGCTCCTCAGGAGGCCATTGGGACTCTCCCCAGGTCACACTCCTTCATAGACTTGCTTTGCGCCCTCTTTGAGTGTTCTTGCCTAACTGGAATATGTCCTTCAAATCTGAAAATGTTTCTTGCTTACCTGGATAGAGGCATGAGCATCCATGGTGTGTGTGTGTGTGTTGAGACAAAAAGTACAGGTACTTTTATCCTCATTTTTTGTACAAAATTAGCCTACCGTACTTCCTGCTTTGAGTGTTTTACTCGCATTCTCCCTGATGAATTCCTGCAGATGCCCATGAATACAAGAGTGTGTGTAGAAACTAGCCTACTGCACAAAGCTAATATTCTTAATAGTTGATCTGCCCACTTTTGCCTTTGGCCTTGCACTCCACTGGCATGCAGCCTCCAGAAGGTTGCTCAGATGGAAATGTGGTCTTGGCACTGAAGTTCTCCATCCCTGTCCTGCCATCTTACCCGAGAGCCCTAGCCTGCTCTCTCCTCTCCCTACTTGAGGGGGGAGGGTGTCTTTCCATCATCTGAGTCTACATCAGACTCTGTCTTTGGAAATAGAGAGGGCAGTAAATATAGGTCTTTTAAGTGGAAACAATTAGTTTTAGGCTGTGTTATTTGGGAAAGGGAGAGGCATTGGTTTGAGCTGCAGTGCTGTTCATATGTGTAGCTTTGTGCATGTTTTACAAAATCAGAACCACTTGTTTGCATATGAATTGTCTATCTTATTTCAGTCAATCACCAATAAATGGTATGTCTTAAAAAAATGGGTGCTCTTATCAGATCTTGCCCATGTATAAAATCTTGCATTTAACTAGGCTTTCCTCACATATTTTCATTAATTGAGCTTTGACCAATGATTCTGCTAGGGAAAGTCAATTGATTTCACTGGTGTTAATGAGGCAAACATGCGTTGGATCCAGGACTTCCGAATGAAATCTTACGCAAATCCTGCCAAGCTGGAATCAACTGATGGTGAGGTATCTTTTAACTTGCAACTCAGGGTCTGTTCTCTGTGCACAAACTGTTCTTATCTACACAGTATAGTGCTCCTTGCTGCCAACTCTGTCAAACTTAAGCACTCATTGATTTTAAAAGTGATTGCTGAGCATGTGCTGAGAATAATGCTATTACTGTTTCTTTTGCATTTTTAGCAATGATTTAGATAGGTTTTTTCCTGTTTGCCGCAATCTCAAGGCCTCTCTTGTATTTGTGACAGAGAGTATTCAGATATGATAGGGAACTATGGTTTCCTTCTGTGACAGTAAGCTATGGCAGATCTAAGGCTCACACATTCCTTCCTCCACTCCTTTGCATCCAAGGGAAAACTGAAAGGTAGTACTCTCACTTTTAAACTGACAGCACTTTCCTGTGATATCTAAGCTTGGTGAACTGTGGTTTATTTCAACTGTAACTTGTGATAACAAACCAGCATCAAGGAGTGGTTTGGGATCCTGGCTCGTTTTCAAACCATAGCTTGAACAAACATTGTTCAACTCCCTGAGGGAACTGTGGTTAGTTTAAAATAGAGATTTTCGCACCATGGTTGCAAAGGAAATGGTGATGGGAGGGTGCCTTAAACCCAAGGCTCACCATGGTTTCCCATTGCATCTGAATTGACATTTTCCTGGCAGTGACCTACCAGATCACTTTGGGGAGGAACAAGACCTGAAATAGGAGCATAAATCCTCATAAGGCAGCCCCCTCCATAATGTTGCCTCTCATTTTTATTTGATGGGCAATTGGTTTGTCTGTAGTTTTCAGACGCAAACATGGCCATGAGCAGTTTTCAGACATTCTGTCCTGTTTCAGTGTGACCTCAAAACAGAAAACAGTGGGGCCAAAGGGAATCTAGCCTGCTCTTAATAGTTTCGGAGTGTGGTCAATAGAGCCCATTCCAATGCTTTCTTGAACAGGCCCCTTCCAATTACCCCATAATGAAGAATCATTCCTGCGTGCACTTAGGGATAGTGTTGCTGTGGGAACAAAGCTTCCTGTGAAAGGGACACAGTGGGGAAGGAGAGCAGCAACCATTCTTCTGAAGTCAGCTGCAGGGTTGTTTCCAAAGCTGTCCTCTTGCACCTTGTTGCACCCTGGAGGCTGTGGTTGGTTTGGAGTAATGGCTCTACCCCTCGTTCCAGGTATGGTAATCCCCTTGATGGGCAGAACAGGGAAAAGGTGGAACAACTCTTCACACCTTCAAAATCACACCTGCTGTTGGAGCAGGTAAAGTAAGAGCCAGGTCACTGGGGGCAGTGAATATGGGAGAGGGGTCATAAATGTATTTGTAGAAAGGCACTGTTCCTGTAGTGCCAACTCCAGGAATTCTGGTTTGGGGGAATGAAGGGGAAGGCAAAGGCCATTAATAGGAGAGCAAGGATTTAATTGGCACATTATAGGACTTTAGTGACTAAAAGCTGGGGGAGTGAATGGGGTTGCATGAAATATTTTGGGGTGTAACCACTAGCCCGTGGAGTCATCCCTGCCAGCCTGTCAACCTTGATAAACCTTTAGCTGGTTTTGAAATAAACAGATCTTGCAAGCGTCATAAGCTTCTTTGCTTCTTCCTCCCAAGGTGCCAGATACCATGCTTTGTTGATTCCAGACTGTCCTGGTGCCATGGTGGATCTGGCAAACAGTGGTTACTTAGCTAGAATATTGCAGCATTTCAGCTCTGAAAACAGTAAGTAAACTTCCTTGGGGATTTATGCTTTATTCTGTACACTTTGTGCATCTTAGATTGAGAAGCATATAAACTGCTAAGACTAATTAAGATCTCTCTTTCTGGTAGGGGCGAACATCCAGGAGGTCTTAAGGAAAATTATTGATAATGTGGATACAGTAGCAAACTAGTGCAAACTCAGTTCAGTAACATAAAAACAATTGTAGCCAGTTTAGAACCTAACATTGTGGATGTGCATCGCTTAATCTACAAATACCAACACCGAACTTCTTTCCACATCTTTTTTACACAGCCCCTCCCCCCAGCAATGTTTGCTGTCAGTCAAATCTCAGTCATTCTGAGTGGTTTTTATGCCTTGAATCAGATTTGGAGAACCTGTGGCCCTCAAGATATTGTTGTGATTATAGTTCCAACATCTCTGTTCATTGGTCATGCTGGCTGCATCACAGAAATACCTGAAGTCAGTTAGATGGGAAGAATATTTTGTAGCATAACTGAACTTCTTGGGGGGGAAATCAGTTGTAATTTTTCTGAATAGGGATTTTTAGATGAAGCTGTTTTTCTTTGTAGAACCCATATGTGCTGTTGGACATGGAGCTGCCGCCTTATGCTGTGCCACAAATGAGGACAAATCCTGGGTATTTCAGGAATACAGCTTAACAGGTGTAGGTGCAGTATGTTTAAGCAAATCACGACTTTTCATATATCACTCTTCTAAAACTGAAGTTTCTGTTCTGATGAGTCCCGTAAGAAGTAGCCTTTGTCTACATTTTATATGTGGCTTTCCCCTTGGGCTTCCCAGATTACAACCACAGATCTGCTCCAAGCCTTTTATAGTAGTCTGTTTTCAGTGAAGCCAAGCACATATTTACTGGCGTTTAATTCAGGGTCATTGCAAGGTGAAATGACTGATAAAGTTGTATTTATTTACTTTTTAAAAAATATATATAGCCAAAAGACTCCTCAAAGCAATTTAGAAAAATAATCTCAAGATCACAGTATAATCAATACAAACATAGCCATATGCATTATGTAGTTTTAACTGCTAACTGTGAGGGAAACCATGTACTTAAATTTTCTGTTGATATGCTAGCAGTGGGATAGAAAGGTGCATGTTTACTTAAATAACTTTGTTTTAGGCTCAAGTATAAAAAAGTGTTATGAACTAATGCAGCGATAGGCTCACTTCAGCCCTGTTCCTTCTCCCCTCCCTTTAAAATTAAGTCCTGTGACCCACTAATGTATTTTGTGTGGTTTGATTCCTTGGTTAGGAACTACTTGGTTGGATCAAACCAAGGTCAACCTAGTCCTGTATTCTTTGCAAGAATCTAGTCAAGGTGTTGGGTAGCCCACCGAAAACAGTATCTTCTTCGTGTTTTGTGACATTTATTTTCTTGTATCTTCCAGCCTTGTGTGTACGAACTAATAAGACTGCCTAGTTTTGCCAGTTTGCCTATTATCTTTGAGGACTTTGCAAAAGATTCTGGAGCTATCTATAGCGGTATGTCATTTAAGGCTCTGTTCCCACAGGTTTTTAATCAGTAGTTGATTAAGTAAATATGATCAAGAAATGCTTGGGTTGTACTGTATTAATGCAAAATCTAATGCAGATGTAAGACCTTAAAAGTAGAAGTTAGAAAGTGCTTGTCAAAATTTCTCATTAAAACATTCAGCAACATGGAAGCTATAACAGCCCAGCATTCCACAGTAAATCTCCCAACCTTGGAGATGAGCTGAACAGAACTATTTCATAATTCAGGCACCCCCAAACTCGGCCATCCAGCTGTTTTGAGACTACAATTCCCATCATCCCTGACCACTGGTCCTGTTAGCTAGGGATGATGGGAGTTGTTGTCCCAAAACAGCTGAATTTTGGGATGCCTGTCATAATTGAACTCACAGGAACTCCATTTCAGTCTTTGCCACTGACCATCTCAGAAATGAAGTCAAGCTTGTTCATGAGTGGAATCTGAATACCCTGCTGGAGAGCCCTCTAGTGGTCCTTAATGTTGTTGCAGGCAGAAGTTAAGATCCACTGTGTTCTTATATACCCTCAGCATGCTCTTGCACACAATTGTGCAATATTTTAAAAGATTAATAGGAAAATTTCATTCTATTTGTTTCAAACACTAAGGAGAGGGGAAGACAAGCACAAGAGTCACTGTGGCTCACATGTAATAATCTAAATCATAATCTGAACCTGGCCAATGTTATAGATATCCCTATAATTGCTTGGGTTTTACAAGTCACAAAGGACAATAAAAAGGTTTTGCAAGAGATTGAAAAAAAACAACAAATCAACTTATTAGGAAGATGAAATTAAATCGATAAACAGCAGTAAAGACTTGTGTATAGTTTTTCTTAAGTGCCAGAGAAATGGAGGTTGTAGTATGTAAATTAAGACACGAATATTTTCTCCCAATACAGCCAGCAAAGCAGATGCAGTGCATGTTGTATTGGACAGACACCTTGTCACTGGACAGAATGAAAATTCTACAGTTGCAGCTGTCCAGAACCTTGTTTTTCTTTGCAATGGCAGGTAAGAAAAGGTGGGGGAAGTTTCAGTAAAATTTTGTGCCACTGCAGACATAGCCCTTCAGTTCTGGAGTATTCTAGCCAATGTGTGTATGTCTGAGAGGGGGAGACTAGTTTTATATTAAGAATAAAAATTATTTAGTTACAGCTAGCCAAACTCAATCTTTTTCTTCAAAGAAAAAATGAATATATATTAAAGGCTTAATGGGGTAGCAGTACGTAGCTTCATTTTTTAAAATAACCTGGTCAATTATGGATAAGTAGATGAAGCAGATCTCTGATGCTTAGCTGCTTGGTTTTTTTCTAGCAAATTATTACTGTAGTTTAGATGTGAGCTGTTTACAGTGATGTAACTATTATGTCCTACTTTCATTCAGCAGAAAATGACGGTGCTCTTTGTAAGTGGGATGAATACAGAAGAAGTCTTCGACTTTGAGAAATGGAAAGGAGAACACTGCACATTTGTAAGGATGGGGACTGTAAATCATGTGGTAAAAACCTTAATTGAACTGTTTTCCTGCTTTTTTGAAAAACATTGTTCCATCTTGTGTTAATACAGAGTCTAAAAAGCCTGGCTAAACATGTAACATGAAAAACCATGGTTTGCAGCTCTGTCAACAGCTGAACACCTGAATTAGATATTTTTGAAGCTATTACTTTGTTAGTTACCCATGTGTCCAAGTCCTCATCCTTGTGCAGGACTATATGGTATTAGTTTACAGTTGTGGCAATTAAGGATAACATAACAATACAAAGTAAAGTATTTGTTACACTTTCACATAGGAGTTTTGAGTTTGATTGCAGGTGCTAAAAAGACTGCTGTATTGAGATTAGCTGAAAAGTTAAAATAAGCTTCAGTTCAGTAAGCTACAAAAATTATTCTAGATAATGTCAACTCAACTTTTTTTTTGTAAGGCAAAGACCATGAAGATTCTATAAAGTGGAAATACAACAATTGAATGGAAAGGCATTTAGTATTGGGGCTGTGGTATGTGTGCTGGTTGGTTCGCTTAATGCTTGTAAATATCATTTTATTTAGTTTTTTTGTACCACCCATGATTGTACAAGTCCATTTTTTAATGACCACAGAAGAAAGTTAGAGAAGCTGTTGAAGTTGGACTCAATAAATATAATTTCACCCTCTTAAAAGTTTGTAGCGTAAGGACTTTTGGCTGTAGCTGATCAGAATTGTAATAGGCAACATCTAGAAGGCTTCAAATTGGCAAAGGCTGGTTTGAAGTAACACGTAATATAGCCGTTTCACAAAATAATTAGACAAATGCTCTTCTTAGTTGCTAGTAGCAGCTTGGCCATGTTTTTTGTGAAATCAATTTTAATTTACCTGTTTAGGCTGGCTTAGGTATTGCAAACCTTGTATAGGACCACAGGGCAGATTTCTAGTCATACAATATTCTGGCACTATACCAAGCCACCATTTGAATTTCCAAACATGAAGTTTACACTACAGCTACGTACCTAAGTGCTGCATTCCTAAGAGACCAAACTCACATCAAATCATGATTGCAATTGCAGTTTGCAAGTCTCAATTCAAACCATAACTGGAGATCCTTAATCATTGTTTGGTCAGATGCTTATTCAAGTTCATTTGGTACAGCTAGGTTAGTAATCATAATTGTATGTAAGGAAACAAACATCCTGCTTAGTGCTATGCACCCCATCCATAAAGTCTTCAGCTATTTTGATGATAATTCTTCAACATATTTCCGGCATTACGGTAAGTGTAGACAATATCCACATCCTTTCTATGAAGTAGGAATGAAACATCATACCTATTACTTAGTACAAATAAGTGAAAGCATTGTTGTACCACAATATTTTTATTATTACCACTACCACCATCATTTTGAAGGGAAACCCTTCCAGTCAATTGGTCCTTTAGTCATCTGCAACTCCCCCCACAGCAGTATCAATTTTGATATACAAAAGTGCCAAACACACTGAGAATATGTTAAGTTTGCAAAATCATATAAAAAGCCTGGAATACAGAAAATCCATTCATATGCAGCTTGTACAGCCATTCAGCTTCCAAGAAGTTTGGCATGCCTACTTTCCGTTTGCAGCATTGAACATTCGTTCCTAAAAGAAGAAAAAAAATCAAGCATTTAACAGGAGGCAAATCATATGAAACATCCAGAAAATAGTTTCACATGTGTCAGTTTTCAACTTGTATTATTGAAAAACAGTATGGATTAGGGTTTAATAGATCTTGTCAATTTAATACTGATTTTATGAACATTTTACACTGCTTTATATAATAAAAACCTAATCTGCTTATTTAAAAATTTCCTAAAGGCAAGAGAAAGCAAAGCACTGTTTAAATTCAGTATTCTATATGGATATTGACAGTTCTAAGCAATAATGTTAATCTCAAATATCCAGTCTTATGGAATTAACATGTCTTAATCTTCTCCACTGGTGAACAGTTAGAAATGAAACTGAAACAGAAGCTGCAAACAAGCCACATCCTTATATGACCTAATGTATAGCAGACTATAAGAAGATAAAACCCTCTTAAATAATGTTACCTTTATCATCTGCTCCAATTTAACTGCATCAGCAGCAAACTTTCTGATTCCATCAGACAACTTCTCCACAGCCATTTGGTCCTCATTATGGAGCCAACGGAATGTCTTCTCATCCAGATGGATCTTCTCCAGGTCAGATGCCTGAGCTGAAATGAAGAATACATAAAGCTATTGAATCTTAGAAATCTAGCAGGCTATTTGGATAGAACAGCTCTTAATGGGTGCGGAGTCCTTTTCGCAAAATCATCCTATCACTAAATGCTAAGACAGCAATTGCTGCTGCTCAACTTTGCACAGCGCCCACAGCAAATGTTTATTCTGAACTCTTACAGAAATCAACCAGCTGTACAGAGTTTATGGTATGTATTTTTGTGTTTTTATATTGCAAACTACCCTGTGATCCTCAGATGAAGTACAATATAGAAAATAATAATATCTGTGCTGTGCTTTAAGCTCCACAGTAGGTTCAGCAACCTAAGTACAAGAGCAAACATGCTGATCTAAAAACTATTTTGGATATTTGATTATCAAAAAGATGAGCTGACAACAGTGCTTCTCTAATAGTTATACACAAGGCCAGAGCCTTTAGATATATTTACTCCAACTCCCATCTGATCTTATCCAGAGAATACACTTGTTCAACAAGAGAAAGTTTAGAATAAAAGATTACCAAAAAAAACCCCACATTCTTCATGTCAGCTCTGGGGTCTGCTAGAATCCCTCTGATGCCGGATTCTACATGGAGCCACAGCCCCTTAAAATGCTTCAAAGATATATACGCTGATAAGGAATACCTTAACTGATCTACCCTGTTATGTAGAAGTCAACCCTTAAACACACGAAGGACATTGTAATGAACAACTGTTGGATTGTCACCCTAGTTAATCATCCTTAGTAAAATAATTTGCAAGACTATCACACACAATATATAAAAGAAGACAACCTACCATCTTTGACACTGAGCACCGGGGTTAGCTTGCTGCTATCTTTACTGAGCTCTCCCAGAAGCTTTGGTGAAATGGTGAGAAAGTCACAACCAGTCAGTGCTTTGATTTCTCCAGTGTTTCGAAATGAAGCTCCCATCACAATAGTTTTATAGCCAAACTTTTTGTAGTAATGGTAGATTTTAGTGACACTTTTCACACCTATAAAAGAATATGGAGTTGTTTTTTTTAAAAAAAGAATACTATGCAAAATTACTTAACCTTGAAGAAGCTCTCAGACCTCAACTCTTAAAAAAAAAGCCTTCCTCTTAAAAAACTAAGCGTTTGGGCTTGAGTGTGTTAAAATCTTAATATGTTTGTCACAGTCAATCAATTACCTGGGTCTTCTGATGGCTCGTATGTCTTCTTGCCTGTATTTGCTACATGCCAATCCAGAATACGCCCAACAAAAGGAGAAATGAGGGTGACTCCTGCTTCTGCACAGGCAACAGCCTGAGCAAAGGAAAACAGCAAGGTCAAGTTGCAGTGGATCCCATGCTGCTCTTCAAGAACCCTGTTAAAAGAGACAGCCTTAGAACAGAACTGCTCCCCCCACCAACTATAATGATACTGCTGGAAAAAAGGAATAAACAATTTACTACATATATACATTTTCAGATTACTAACTTTTAGAAATTTTTGATTTGTCAGTATTTACCCCACAAAAAAACAACCTCCAGCTCTGAAAATCTAGTTTCATATCACAAACTGAATTACAGGTGTTTCAGTCTGGATAGGAGCAGGCACCTGAAAATAAGAGGTGACTGCTTAGTATTAGATTATATTGCATCTATACTACATTAACGCATAAGGTACAAACTTACTTGGCAGCCTGAATGCCCTCCCATGTTGATGACAGCTTGATGAGAATGCGATCTTTACTAATTCCTGCTTCTTTATAAAGATCTATGAAGTGTCTGGCCTTCTTCACCATGCCTTCCTTGTCAAAAGACAACCTTTAAACCAAAGAATTTTTTTTTAATGTGCAAGCATTCATCTTCTTTTTCCTCTTTTTTTTTTAGTTTACTGTATAGTATTTCTCCATTAATCATGGGTAGTAGCTCAGTAGGTAGAAAATCATTTGGCATTAATGTGTTTAAGCTTGAAGTGTTACAGATCTATTGGTTTGCATTTATGTGGAGGGGAGACCTTAGCGCATAACTGGACTTGTGACCGAGTTCTTGTTAAAAGTTTGGTTATTTTGGAAAAAGAAAATATGGTGCCTCTTTGAATTTTCTGGGATTTCCTCTGTCCAGCTAAACAGAACTTTTAACACAAAAGTATTGAGCAGAATAATTTGTCAAGTCAGTACTTTCCCTTATGTGGCAATGTCTATTTTGTTGTTTATACCCCTGTTAGGAGCACATCTTTCCAATGTGTGTACTCATGGCAATATGGTGTGCAGGCACCTTTCTACTAATTCATGTATGTATGTATGTATGTATGTATGTATGTATGTATTAAATTACACCCTCCCTTTCCTAAAAATAAAGTGGCTAGCATAATAAAAGCAAAACAAAAAATTAAACACATATTCTATAAAAGCAATAGCATAAATAACACCACCAACATAAATAACAAACAGCTTAGGACAGGGCTGGCAAGCATCTTATTCACAAAGGCCTTTCTTTAAAAAACACCTCCAAGATCTTCACCACACGGCAGAAGATCATAGTGGTGGTGAAGGCATGAGCAAGAACTCCAGAGCTTAGGCATGATTACCGAGAAGGCCCTCCTCCCACTTGTCCCAACAAGGAATTATGCCAAGAGCTTAGGCATGATTACCGAGAAGGCCCTCCTCCCACTTGTCCCAACAAGGAATTATGCCTTAGCAGCCAGGTTCCTTTATTTTAAGGCAGAGACCTAGAAGGCAATTCAGGAGACACACACCTTGCATCTACTTCTGTGGACACACGGCCAGGTATCCTCTTCAGTATTTCTGCCCCAAACAATATAAAAAGCTTGTCACAAGCATTTTTAACTTGGTCATCTTCTGACCTGGAAATAAATAATCACAAGAGAGAATAATGAATATCCAGGAAAAAGAATGATTATGTGATGATAATGTCCCCCCCAAAATTGGCCACAGCTCCATTGGGAATGGCTAATTGTTTGCACTATGGTTTGGTCTTGGTTTCTGATAGCCATAACCTTTTCTTGGAGGGAGATGATATGCTGTTAAATGACAATACAGGAGGGCCAGAAGAAAATACACAATGGTATCATCATGAGGGGTCATAGCTGCCAAGTCTGAATATGAATACACTCGCCCACCATGTTCCCTTTGACAAAATACTAATGGACTTACCCACCAAGTTTCCTCCCATATGCAATAGCATCTTCCACCAGTTGCTGGTAGGATGGCATCTGAGCTGCAGCAAGTATCAAGGAAGGGTTGGTGGTAGCATCCAGAGGCTTATACTCCTCAATAGCTATGGGAGACAAAAGCAAAAAGAAAAAAAAACCTTGGTTGGCTAGCATGAAAATAATTTATTTTAAAGATGGGATAGGGTGGAGTAAACTTAGCTAATTTGCTATTCCAGAAGCATAATCTTGTTAATAACAATTAAGCAGATGCCAAATTTGGGAATCAATTAGTCAGATTGCTGTACAAAGTGTG